CTAAATGGGGTATGATATGTTGGGCCTGGACCTTTGGGTCAGACGCCCAAATTTAAAAGTAGGAAGAGAGAGCACAGAGGTGTCAAGAGGGCCGAGTGGTCTAAGGCGCCAGACTCATTTGGAGCTTTTTTTGGGCCTATCTTACTATTAGACTTGGGATGAGGACCTACCTTACTATTTGGGCTTGGGATGAGGTCCAATTAGTTTTGCGGGTTCACTTACAAACATATCGTTTAAAAAGCTGAGCCCAACTAATTATAAATTCAATATTTGGGGGTGGTAAACTAGCAGCTTGGTTCGACAACTTACAAAGTTTTAAAAAAATTTAAGTTTTATTTATTACACTTTTAAATTAATCTCAAATAATTTTTTTTCGAGTCCACCTCAAGTAATTTGGTATTTGTATTTAATGTTAAGACAGTCGAATTAAGTTGAACGAATTATTAACTATTTAAATTTAATTTACAATTTTTAATGAATTCTAACAATATATTCAAGTTTAATTACACATGAACTTTTAATAAATTGAATAAAAGTGGAATTTAAATTGTTTGATCCATTTATCACTCCAATAAATAAAACTATACAAAGGCCTATGTTTGGGAAGTGGGTTTTGTGACTTTTTTAGTTAAAATAGTCACAAAAAATAAAATAGACTTTTTAGCTCAATAAGACAAAACATCACATTCAACTTATAATCATTGCATTCTTTCTCTCACAAAAAAATCTAAAAAGACCAGAAGTCCTTTCCAAACCAGGTTTTTAACCCCAGACTAAAATAATCAAAAAAATTAAAAACCCAAAAAACCAACCCACTTTTGTAGACACCCCATTTTTGACCGTCCTCAAGACTTGGACGTCACCATTGGAACACTCAGTGATTGTCCATGTTTGTGTTCGTTTAGAGTTCCCGGAGGTCTCGGCTACGCGCCCTGCCTCAGGATCTCCGAACTCGACCATTTTGTGTCTGGTTTTGCACCAAACATTTGTGTTTTGCCTTGGAGGGGCAGGGAATGCCTTGTGAGGCATCCCCACACACCACCGGCAGTGGCTAGAGGCCACCGGCTGATTTTTGTTGCCATCGGCAATGTATGTGGCCGGTCGGCACTATTTGTTGCCGGTCGGCAGTCTTTTTTGTCAACATGACATTTTTGGCCTGCCGACTACTGTTCATCTGCTTTTGCAGATATTTTAGGACAGCTGTGTGGCATTTTGGTTCCCCTCCATACACGTGTATGGAGGGATACCCTCCTTGTAAGCTTGTTATATAAGCTTTACAAGTTGGTTGCCTATTAGAGAAGGGTCTCTTCTCTTGGCTCTAGGGTTAGAGAATTTTGGAGAGAAAAACACAGAGAGAAGCTCTGGTTTTAGGGTTAGGGTTTATACATATCTCCTATCTCTCTTTTTCTCTCTTTGTGTTCTAGGTGTTTTAGTTCATACTATTGCACACAAACACATAGTGTTTCACCTTCTCTTAGCTACTGAGGTTCTAAGAGGTTGGTTTTGGTGTTTTGGAGCTGGATTCAAGCCAAGGAGGGCTGTTGGAGCATCATTTGTGAAGGTGATCTACAAGAGTGAGAAACTTTCCTTTTATTCCCCATTTTTGCATTGCTTTTCTACCCATTTTAGAGCTGTTTTCGTGCTTAGTGTATAACATAAAAAAGTTCTGTTTTTTAGCCCTTTTGATTGTTTATTAAGAGTGTTTTGTGGTTTGGGTTTGTTTGACCCCTCCTAAGCCTTGTAAGGCTCCTTTTTGTGCTATTTTTGTGCAAGTTTCGAGACTTTGGTGTTTGGGCCTCTTCACCACTGAAATCTTGAGGGATCTCAGTGGCGGAGATGGTGCCTTGAAGTCTCCAAAAGAGGAGGGCCACCCCCTCTCCTTGTTGTCCTTGAAAGGGACCTTTTTTGGCCTCTTGAGGGAGCATCATGTTAGAGTATGTATTGACCATGCCTTGGCTGTTTTTTGTGCCTATTATATCATAATATGCCTCTATTTATTGTTGGTTTTGGTACACCATGCATGCTTAGCATACCTACCTTGTAATGCCACTTTATTGCCTTAACATGCCTTAGGTTGTAAACCTTTGTTCAAGCTTGTTTTAGGTCTAGTTTTGTGAAGCTTCTATGCTTATTTTACCATGCTAGAGGTCTGTCCATAGTTGTTTGGGTCGGCCATAGCATGCATTGTATAGCCCCTTTGCATTCTTGGCTTGTTGGCCTTAAGTGTGTGAATGTATAGCATGCATCTTTGCCTTAATTTAGTGGGTTGGAACCATTTGTCATGTAATTTCAGTCCCTTTGACATGCTTGTATGCTTGCCTTGGACACCTCTTTAATGCTTTGAAAGCTTGTGTAGCATGTTCCATGTTTTGGCCATTGTACATGCCTTTGAATTTGAGCCACTTAGATGCCATCTAGGGGGCCCCCTTTGCATGGTCTAGGTCTGCCTTGAACCTATTTTAAGTCCTCTTAGCCTTGTGAGGCTTGGTTGACTTGGTCATGGCTCAAGCCCCTTTGACTTGCTTCAAGTACTTGGGCCATTTATTGCATGCTTAGTCTATTTTGTTTGCTTGGTTTGGCACCATCTTAACATGATTTTCAATGCTTACCTTGCATGCCATATGTCCATGATTACCCTCTTTCAAATGTGTTTGAGAGTTGTCCCATTTGTGCCTAAGTGTTGGCCCCTTTAACATGTGCATGTGTGTATGTGTATAGTCCTTTATTTTGGTCACTTTGGCCACTGTTTTGGGCCTTATTAGAGTTGCCCAAATCATGTTTAAGTCCATTATTTGCTTGCCTGCATGCTTACCTTGCATGTTTGTTTGCATGCTTGCATGTGCATCTTGCATTTCCATGTTGCATCATTAGCTTGTATGCCTAGGTTACATTGCATTTAGCATGCATGTCTTGCTCCTTGATCTAGTGATAGGAATTGGACTTTGGTTTGTTGGTTTGCATTGCATTTGACATCAAAATGTGCACACTTGGTCCTTTGGGCCATCACGTATGGAAATGCGCGATTGATGGTCCGAGAACCAAGGAGCATGTCCCTTTGAGTCATTAACATGATAAGGGACATGATTGGTGCATATATGCCTTGAATTGTATTGCCATGCTCTGCCTTGCCCTCTGTTGCTGTCAATTGCAGATCCTGCAGGAGCTTTCTGCCGACCGGCAGTGATAAGTGTCGACCGGCAATCCTCCTTCTGCCGATAGCTTCACCAATGGCCGGTGATCACATGCCACTGCCGGTGGGCATTCTACCCAGCCGATGGCATTCCCCAGTGTCCAGAGAAGCAATCCTGAGGTTTTGGCAGCCTCCAAAGGAGTAAAGAAAGGAAAACAGAGGCAGCCTATGCATGGCGGTGCACTTCCGAGCAAGACCCGAGCACGCGTTGCATTGAGCTCTCTTCCCGAGGCGGTTTACTGTTTTTCCTAGCTTAGTTAGTTTGTTAGCTAATTAGGCAATTTGTAATATTTAATTAGCTTGCGTAGTTAATTAATTTGTATTATTTATTTGGTCCCTCCGGGCGAGGGCAAATCTGAAATAAATGTAAGTGTGTGTGAGTGGTGTGTATGTCTTCCAATCCCCACTTCTTTCTTCCCTCTTATTTACCTGCTTATGATGGTAGATTAGGGCACGTTTAAATTAGCATACCTCATGCAATGCATGCGTGCATTCATTCATTTGTCTTACACGCACCAGGCTCGGCACATCATTCTAACTGCATTTGTACTTCAATTTCAAATTGAATACGTGATAGTTGTAGCATTTCACATACCATGTTTAGGTTAGCCGAGCCTATCTAATTGCATCCTGTATGTGCTGCATTAGTCAATTTAACATGAACTAGGATCACACATGTTTGCTAACCAGTTTATTGTTTTGGCTTGGAGTACGATGTAAGTATTTATGCTTTAGCATCTCGCATGCGTGTGAATGTTAACATGAGACTTGGGATGAGGACCTACCTTACTATTTGGGCTTGGGATGAGGTCCAATTAGTTTTGCGGGTTCACTTACAAACATATCGTTTAAAAAGCTGAGCCCAACTAATTATAAATTCAATATTTGGGGGTGGTAAACTAGCAGCTTGGTTCGACAACTTACAAAGTTTTAAAAAAATTTAAGTTTTATTTATTACACTTTTAAATTAATCTCAAATAATTTTTTTTCGAGTCCACCTCAAGTAATTTGGTATTTGTATTTAATGTTAAGACAGTCGAATTAAGTTGAACGAATTATTAACTATTTAAATTTAATTTACAATTTTTAATGAATTCTAACAATATATTCAAGTTTAATTACACATGAACTTTTAATAAATTGAATAAAAGTGGAACTTAAATTGTTTGATCCATTTATCACTCCAATAAATAAAAATATACAAAGGTCTATGTTTGGGAAGTGGGTTTTGTGACTTTTTTAGTTAAAATGGTCACAAAAAATAAAATAGACTTTTTAGCTCAATAAGACAAAACATCACATTCAACTTATAATCATTGCATTCTTTCTCTCACAAAAAAATCTAAAAAGACCAGAAGTCCTTTCCAAACCAGGTTTTTAACCCCAGACTAAAATAATCAAAAAAATTAAAAATCCAAAAAACCAACCCACTTTCCAAACAAAGCCAAAGAGACAAAAATTTACAAAAATATTATACAAACGTGACAAATTGTGATTATTTATTTAAAAACATAATAACCATAATTTGATGAAAAATATTATAAATCTTAAATTTTTTACCAAATAAATGATCAAATATCTCACGAAACCCACACCGTATGTGATATTTGAACATTTATTTAATAAAAAATTTGACATTTCTACCGTTACCTTAATTTGATCGTATTCAATCATGCCAATCCACGTAACCAAAACTGAAGAACGAGATTCGTAAGCAAACATCAATCAAAAACTTTGCATAAATGAGATTCGCCATCTCCATTTTTCTTAGTTATATTCTGAAGAAGTGAAACTCACTTTCGATCCAAAGCTTCTGTGTGTGTGTGTGTGTATATTCGTTCTCAAACTACATTGCGGGGATGGCGACGAGCAGCAGAGAGGCCAGACGACGTCGCATTGTGGATAGAGGCTCAGATCGCTTGTCATTTCCAAACCCTGCCTTGTTCATCATCTTCGCCCTCTCAATCTCATCATTCAAATCTTTCGCCACATCAATCCACCGGTATTCCCTCCCTCTGTCTCTCTCTGTCTCTCTCTCTCTCTCTCTCTCTCTCTCTCTCTATGTATATATATATATTTATATATGTCTAATTATCAGATTGTTAGCTTAATTTTTAACTAAAACGAAAAAAAATGATCCTTTTTTTTTTTCTTCTATGGATTTGTTGCATACAATTGATGTCCTTGTGATAATTAATATGTTACAAAGAGAAAGAAGAATAGTTGCTTATGTAAAAACATCTCTAATCATTCATCCCATATTTCATTAAATTTGAGTAAAAATCTGGCCTTTCGACCAGTTGGTCATCCGGCTAAAGTAAATTTTCAATAAATTCATCTCAAAATTGGTTGTCTGGGAGCCAACACTTGCCTACAAATTTGATGAACCAATAAACGTTCTCTTTATTTGATGAAAAAAGTATCACTTACCAAACTGATGAAACAGTTTGAGTACTATTTTCATCGATTTTTCATCAAATTTAATCTGATGAAGGATTGGAGATGATCTAAATCAACTATATGATTTTTATAGTAATTATTTGAGGCCTAAAGTAAGTTGTGGCAAAAAATGGTTTAGAATTTGTGATTTTATTTTTTATTTTTTGTTTTTCAGCTTCGCAGGGGATTATTTTAGTTATAATTTTGATGGGTCATGAACACTTGCCAAACTGGTTAAGAGAAACCAAGTTATTGTGCAATTGTGATTTCCATTTTAGAAGAGTTGGTGGTGAACCCATGGTCAATTCAATGAAATTCTTAATAAGGGAGCATTCTATATTCCAACACACAAATGCTAATAATATGGAGGACTTTAGTTTGCTTTTACTAAAATCATGATTTTTCTAGTTGAAAACTGCTTGAATGCTTGGCAATCCTAAATTGAGCAACTTATTGCACCGACTTTGCAACTAAACTGCAAGCCTTTGTGTTGTCGCAGCAAAGTCTATATTTTGAGACATGCCCTGGACGTAACAGGTGGTTTCAAAGTTCAACAGTTCCCGTACTTTCAAATTTGAAATTGTTCGCTGATATTCGCATGGTTTGCAAGAATTTTGGAATTTAGATGCTAATGTTTCTAGTACTTTCTTATGGCCTTATAGCTAGTTTCCTTTGGTCAAAAGGAGAATAAGAAACAACAGGATTACTTAGACCTTTTAAGACACTAAATCTAAGAGCAGAAACCATGACCCAAAAAATGACGGTATTGGTTGAAAAACCAAGTAAATTTTGTGTTTGTACGGGTGCAAATCCCGCATGGAGCGAAAAACCAAGTGCTTATATTATATAATCATCGCACTAATAGCTTGTGAATCAAATGAAGGTTGAATCACTGAGGTAGTGAAACTGTGTTTGGTGGGGCCACTTCTGGATGGACTATGAATCAATGAGTTTAATGTTTATGATGTTCCTTAGTAGCTACAGTTTGCTTGTTTTGCTGGGTTGAAAGCTGTATATTATACCATGTGTAAATTATTTGCTTGGTGTGGTAGGGAAGTATCTTATGAATTTGTATAAATTGCATAGCAGCTGTTAACTAAATTTTATTGGTTAAAATAATTGCAATCCATTTGGCAGCTGGTTACTTACAATTTGAAATATGCCTCACAAATGTTGTGGGAGATTAATATCTGGATTTTTATGCAGGCTGTAATAGAAAATCTTTAGGATTTCATGCATTAGATTGCCTGGAGTATAGTTTATGCTTGGAATTCAATTTCAAACGTCATGCTGTGGCATGTTGTGTACTTCTTTGACTTGTGTTTTAATATATTTTTAATCCACTTTCGGTTTCAGTCATTAACCTTGTTGATATTGCAGTTTCATACAACGGTGAGGATAAATCCTCTAGTTCTTTGTTGCTGAAGGTTGCCTCTGCCAATGAATCTGGCACCATTGATCGTGGAAGTAAAGAGCAACCATTTTTGCGCAAATGTGAGACAAACACTGAAGCTTTGAGAGTTCTTCCTTGGGAAGTCGATGGCAGAGTAGAATCATCCCGTGTCTCATCGACAGTTCAAAATACATCGATTTCCACTTCTGACTCAGATCATCACGTTGAACCACATGTCTATCGGAGTAAATTTTTCACCCCGAATCAAATAAGTTGTGCCATTGCAGTGTCAGAGAGTACCCGCATCTATTGTTCTCTACCAGCAGCCATTTTAGTAGTACTTTCTCATGTTGGACTTCCTGTACTGGGCAGCCACATCGTGAAGAGCACCATATTTTTTGGGCCTTTGTATCTAGTTTTGCTTACCAATGTATCGATTGTGCTAGCACAGCTACTTTTAGGAAAACAGAGACGGTTGGAGCGGATTGAGCAAGAAGCAAATAGTGTCCCTTTGATTGGTGGGTACGGTTTTGCTGAACAAGTAGGCAAGGCATTGGAGTCAGGTTTGGTGTTGCAGAACATAGTGGGTGCAATGTTCATGGATTGTAGTGTGTATGCGGTCGTTGTTGTATGCGGTCTCTCTCTTGTGCACAAATTCGGCTGGTAGGATATTTGGTTGAATAATTTGAATCATTGGCCCTTGATGAGCTAGTTCAACTCCTTGTCTAATGAATGTACTTTCACTCAGGTGTCTTCCTTTCTTTGTAATATATTTTGTATAAGGATTTGAAGGCACCTCCTTTTAGGCCTAGTCATGTATAACATTTATCTTTAATACTATTTACTTTTCTTTTGTTCAAAAAAACCTAGTTCAACTCTGCTTTGAATGCACTTTATTTTTCAATTTCTGTACATTTCCCCCCCTAAGCATGGATTCAAGTTTATGTAATTTTCTTTAGGTTTCAACTTTGTGTTGAATTCGGATTTGAAGGGACAGTTTTGTAAATCAACTTGTATCTATCTATGTTATAATCGGAGTTTCTATTTGCATACCACATATCTTCGGGCTTTATTTAGTAGTCTAGAAGCACAATATAACATTGCTTACGTGATACTCTAAATCAATTACCTAGTTAGTGTGTTATGATTTTTTTATTGGCTCGGATTACTATATAGACAATGACATGATATTTATATCTTCTCAATTCACATCATTTTTTCAACTAATTATGATCATGCTCCTTGAACGAATTTCTAAAATGCCCTCATCTTCTATTCCCACATCCCCATCATCTTCTACCTGAAACCCAACAACCAACCCATCCTCATGATGCCGAAAATTGCCTTTGCCACCACCATTCCCAACCCTCTACCAGCATGCCACCATGGAAACAGGTAAGAGACGTAGTTAGGAGGGAAGGGGCGCCAGTGGTGGAAATGGCGGCAGGAAGTTGCAGGTGGTTTTAAGCAATATGTTAGGGTCGGGGTTAGAATATTGAAAATTAATTTATTATGGAGAGTAAATGGTGTCAATTGAAAAAAAAAAAAAAAAAATCAAAAATTAAAAATGTGTGTTTGGTGTTTGATTATATTTTTTATTTTTATTTTGTTTTCAGAAAACATGAAAAACTTGTTTTAAAATTTTTAATTTCACACAAAATAAAAACGTATATGACTTTTTCATTATTTATTTTGTTAGAAACCACAACACTACAACTAGCAATGTTCAAGCAACTCATTTGGTTCAACCCCTGCATCTCTCGAAACAGCTCAATTGCTTCGCTAGCTCTACTATGATTCGCTGATCCTCCAATCATTCTACTCCAACAAATACCATCTCTTTCCGACATTTTATCAAACAACTGCCAAGCTTGATACATTCTTCCGGATTGCCCATACAAAGTCCTCTGCAAAAACCCATTTCTATCTGCACAAAAGCGAAACCATTGATCAACAAAGATTGCCACCGAGGTCTCGATGGATTTTATAATTGTTAGTTAATAATACACTGAATTTCTGTTTCATTGATGATTGAGAGGCAAACATTAGCTAAGCTCCTGAGGAGCTGTTCAAAAAATTGGTTTATTGATCAAGGACTACAAGCCCATGCAGCTGTAGTGAAATTGGGATATGGGTTTGACATGATGCTAAGCAATGACCTTATAGACATGTATGGAAAATGTAGTAGAATGGACATTGCTTGTGCTGTGTTTGATAGAATGCTTGAAAGAAATGTTGTTTCGTGGACTGCATTGATGTGTGGTCACTTGCAGCAGGGTAATCCCAAAGTGTCGTTACAGCTTTTTTGTCAAATGGGGTATTCTGATGTTGATCCCAACGAGTTTACTTTCTCGACAAATTTTAAAGCTTGTGGGTTTTTGAGTATTATTGAGAATGGAATGCAAATTCACGGCAACTGTGTTAGAACTGGATTTGAATGGTATCCTGTGGTGGGAAATTCTATTGTGGACATGTACTCGAGATGTGGAAGAATTAGCGAAGCAGAGCGAATGTTTGATCTAATGCCAGTTAGAAGCCTCATAAGTTGGAATGTGATGATAGCAGGATATGCCCTTGAAGGAATGGGAGACAAAGCATTACTTTTGTTCCAGAAAATGCAAGAACAAGGAGAAGTGCCAGACGAATTTACACTTACAAGCTCTTTGAAAGCTTGTAGTGGTATTGGTGCGATTCAGGAAGGAAGTCAAATTCATGCTTATTTGATCGCAAAAGGATTCCCGCTCTCTGTTCAGACAATTATAGCAGGTGCGCTTGTTGATCTGTATGTGAAAAGTGGGCACTTATTTGAAGCACAGCAAGTATTTGATCAAGTTGAACGGAAGAGTGTGATATCATGGACTGCCCTAATTGTGGGTTATGGTCAAAAAGGAAATCTAATGGAAGCCATGGATTTGTTTGGGCAGCTTAGGGAAAGTAGCATTCGGGTAGACGGTTTTGTTCTCTCGAGCATGATAGGCGTGTTTGCTGATTTTGTTCTGGTAGAGCAAGGGAAGCAAATGCATTGTTACACAATCAAAGTTCCATCTGGTTTGGACATATCGGTAGCCAATTCAATTGTTGATATGTATCTGAAATGTGGGTTAATAGAGGAAGCAGAAAGTCATTTCAGTGAAATGCCTGAAAGAAATGTGGTTTCTTGGACCGTTATGATTACGGGGTATGGCAAACACGGTCATGGCAGAGAAGCTATACAACTCTTCAAGAAAATGCGGCTAGATAATGTTGAGCCTGACGGAGTGACTTACTTGGCTGTCCTCTCAGCTTGTAGCCATTCTGGACTAATTGAAGAAAGTCAAGAATTCTTTTCAAGATTGTGTGAGGATTGTCGAATCAAACCTAGAGTAGAGCACTATGCTTGCATGGTTGATCTACTTGGTCGAGCTGGACGCTTAAAAGACGCTAAGAGACTTATAGAGAACATGCCGCTAAAACCAAACGTTGGGATATGGCAGACATTGCTTAGTGCTTGTAGAGTACATGGGGAGTTGGAAATGGGGAGAGAAGTAGGAGAATTACTGTTCAGATTGGATGGTAACAATCCAGTCAATTACGTTTTGATGTCAAATATCTATGCTGATGCTGGCTACTGGAAAGAGCGTGAGAGCGTGAGAGAATTGGTGAAGTTGAAAGGGTTGAAGAAAGAAGCAGGACAGAGTTGGGTTGAGATTGACAAGGAGGTTCACTTCTTTTACAATGGAGATGAGACGCACCTGCTTACAGAAGAAATCCATGAAGTTTTGAAGGAAATGGAGAGAAGGATAAAAGAAGAGACGGGTTATGCTTATGAAATGAGATTTGCATTGCACGATGTTGAAGAGGAATCAAAGGTGGAGAGCTTGAGATTTCACAGTGAGAAGCTGGCAATTGGGTTGGCATTAGTTCACAGTGGGATACAAAAGGGGGGAAGAATGATTCGAGTTTTCAAAAACTTGAGAGTTTGTGGGGATTGTCATGAGTTCATCAAGGGCTTGTCAAGGATTTTGGACAAGGTCTTTTTGGTAAGAGATGCCAATAGGTTCCACAAGTTTGAGGATGGGTTTTGCTCTTGCAGAGATTATTGGTGATTCGGATTTGGTTTCTCCAATGGCTGAAATGCAACTTTGGGGAAGCCTTGCAGTTTTGCAGACGGATACAGTCCCATGTTAAGTAGCAAAGAGAGAATGAATAGAAAGCTCAAAAATTATAAGAGGTGAGGAAACTTCTCTCAGATGCCAGTGGTATTCCTTCTCTCCCTCTCTTGCACAGGTCTGCACAAATACACACACAAATCACATATGCATTTCCATCCTAAGCTCCCAATTTATCAGATCAGAATAACGTGCTTATGACTTGGTCTACAACTTAATTTATAGTTTTCAATCCATTGAAACAGAAGAATGATATTAACGGACCAGATATTTAAAGAAATTTGATGCTTCAATGAAATTGCAAATAAATGCCTTGTTTTTATTCATGGATCAATATGATGCTCAGGTGTAAAAAAAAATTCAAAATATAAGAACAAACCATAACTAAACACCTGTCCACCCCCTTTCATTGCTCCATCTTTAATTGTGTGCATTACATTATAGATTACCCATGTAAGATTTGTCTACTAATCCATCTCACACTGATCAATATATAAAAAGACCAAGAATATTGCTTTGATGTTGATCATGGTAATCTAAGTGGGAAATATGTATGGCTGTAACGTCTAAACTAAAGACTCGCATCTCTGTATACTGGTGACAAAATCAAATATATTTCCTGAGTATGTTTTGTGCATTGGTTTGTTCGACTTACTTGTTTTAGAAATTTGAATGTCTTTTCCTTGCACAGATATATCTAACTGTCAAGACATTACGTATATATCAACTCAATTTTGATTGCTTTGATTAATCAAAAAGGCAAAAGCATATTTTCACATATAGATATCCATATAATTTTACATAAAAATTATATGAATATCTAGTACTAACAGTGCAGATCCTCAAGTGTGGACATTTGTGGTTGATGGATCTCGGACAGCAGCAAAGTGTAGAGCTGGTGCAGCATGGGTTTGCCACAATGAAGAACAAGTAAATGTTCAACAAGAAGTCACAATACACTATCTTCCCTCTCCATTGGTGGCAGAAGCTAAAGCTTGTGTGGATGCACCACAATGATCATTGACTAACATGTGTGTTGGCATTCACAGATTGCCAAGTCCCGGTTAATATTTTGAATGTCAAATGTGAACCATATTGGAATATTAGTTGCACAATTAATTATTGAGCACATCAAAACTATCTGTAGATTATTTAATGTTTTTATGTATATCTAAAGTTTCTAGATCTGTAATTCTGCCAATCCGTGAGCTAGCTAATCTGTAAACGCTGATACTACATAATGTTATATAATTTTCTGTTTCCACAAAGGGAACGAAAAAAATCTTCAAAGCACTAGCAGGTTATATTTTCCCAATAAAATACACCAACTTCAAGTTTACTTGTGATCCTGCAATAGAGTTTCTGTTTATTATCCAAACAGGGCACAATAAAGCAATGCAATTTATACATAAAGGCCAACAATTCAAAACCCAGTGAAGCAATAGCAGATATCCAGTAACAGCATTTCATAAGATCACAAAACATCTGATGTTAGAGAAACACCATCTATATGACGGTGGTTAATGTCATTATTTCTACCAAAAAAAAAAAAAAGAAAAAAAAAGAAAGAAAGAAAGAAAAGGAAATAGCTATGATTCTCAGCCTCGAGTTCTTGAAATAGTAAAACTAAAAACCTGAGCAGAGAATATATAAATTATCCTCATCCCTACCACACACTATTGGGGGTATGGTGGGTATGCAGGTCCAGCTGCAGCACTATAATCATACGTACCGCCATAATTCGTCTGTCCTGCATACGGTCCCTGCAATCCATATGATCCACCTGCCCGAGCCCCAGTAGCTCCGATGTCTTGAGTAGCAAATGGGTACTGTTGAGGAAGGGCAGCAGCAGGGCTTTGAGTGAGAGCCCCACCATATCCCGGTCCATACGAGGCTGCTGTGCCAGGACCACCCTCATACACGCTGTGGCTGGCGGCATAGTTGTATGGTGAGGAAAATCTGCCAGCTGCTGCGGTGTGATGTGGCTGGGGAGGGGGGTTCCTGGGTCGGAAAGATGGGGAGGCATTAGAAAATCTCCCCGCCTTGGGTGGCCGGTGAGACGGTGGACCACCACCACCCCTGCTGCTGCCACCGCCACCTCCATGGCCCCGCTTGTTAGAGGGCTTGCTTGTGGATGTCGCACTCTTCTTCTTTTCTGCCTTGATCTTCTCCAGCTGCGTAACTCGCTTCCTTAGGCTGTCAATGCCGAACTGTGATTCAAGCTTGTGGTCTTCCACACATTTTATGATAGCTTTGGTGGCATTCAACTCCAAGTTGTTGGCCTCTTCCTGAAAAATCAGAGATATATAAAAAGAATTCAATGACTTTCAAATTTAGTGTCAATGCACAGTCCATATAGTTGATGACAATGCCAAAAACACAAAACAGTTAGGGCATTTGTACAACCTATGCATATAAAGTGTTCCATTTGTTTTAATGAAGTGAATGTGGCACAAATTTGATCCTCAATTACAGCATCATGTCTAAATATTCTAAAATTTATAGAATGAAAAAATCAAAAGTAGTCTTTTGCAAAATGCTGTGAGGGGAGAAAGAAAAGAAAAAAGAAAAAAATAGACTTGTCTCAAATGAGAAGGAAAATGTCATTATGGAGTCCAAAACTCCCATTATTTATCAGTAATGGCTTTCAACAATAAATAAATAAAGAAGATTCAGTTCAACGCACCACTGCAGCCATGCCAAAGTTTCCTTTCTTTGATATGTTATTGGCATTTTTCCTGCAATTTCTGAGACATGTCCTTAGTAGCGCAAGTGGAGGAAACTGCTCTGTTAAGCCAGACTCGGACACAAAATAAATAGCCTCAATCTCCTTCCCATTCTTCACCAACTCATCAATTATATCTGAGCAAGAAAGCAGATGAGTTTCATCACGATATTCAATCAATCAATTTCAATTTCAATTTCAATTTCAAAAACTAAAAACAGTGCCCCTAAAATAGGGGTTTAAGGTTACAAGATTGTTAACAGAAAGTATAAAGCTCGATCCACCAATTCTTTGCCAGTTTTCAAATTTATGCTCATTCACCAAAATATACAAGTGTGTGTTGATAATCACAAAGAAATTAAACTATAAAAAAGGTCTCAAATATAAACAAGTTTGATATGGTGTCACCAAGATCACAAAAAAGTAATAATAATAATTTCAAGGTGAAGATTAAGCCTCACTCATTTATATCACGAGCAAGTTCAAGCAAGTCTGTTTCAGCCAACCCAAATTTGAGCTTCAGTAGCCTCATTTTTATATATATCGTACAAGACTGCTAATTAAGCCAAGTCACATGTCATTCAGCTTATCAGCTTAGCACTTTTTTACCATGAGCCAATCTTGAGTAAGACTAGCAATGCTGGTTAACAAGCTCAAGTAGATTGGTTCTCCTAGCATGTGTCACAAATGTCAATGCATTTCTTTAAAGTTCCAGATGTGGACTTCATGTTTGATTGTGAACTCAAGTGACTAACACGGTAGCTTAACTTTAGGAAATCTTGACGTACTTTATTAGAGAATTGGAGTATTAAACTTTGTCCAAAAGGACAATGTGAAAAGGAGCACCAGAACAATTTCTGCAGCTTAAGGAATATAGATCTACCTATTACCTTGTAAATCTCTAACATTTACTTGACATACAGAAGCAGTGAACAAAGCACATCAATATAGAACTTCTACTCAATAAGATTCCAGAAAATTTTGACATGCAAACTATCTACATCCTAGCAAATTAGCTGTGCTTATTTAACATTTATTGACTCATATTATTAATAAATTTTATGAATTGTACAAAAAGTTGAACCTGAATAGGAGAGAGATTTTAGTGCAAACAGTTCATGTGCTGCTGAAATGATGGCACTCACTTCATTTGAATTGTTTATGCACACTAGAAATTTTTTCTAAGGTAGTTCCTACAGCAAGTGCTAGGTGAAAAAGAAAAAAAAACAAACAAACAAAAATGACAAAGGGTCAAAAATGGTAGAACTGTCTTTCCTTCTCAAGCTATGATGGAGGTAGTGATGATTATGGAATTAGGGCAACATTGTTGGTATTTGGTGGTTATGTAGGCTAGTAGTGCTTGCAACAATCAGCAAAACACCTACCTCATCAGAGTCCCTCCTTTACCTCCGCCGCAATCTGCCCAACCCCACCACCTCTTTCACCGCAGCTACCCACCACTAAAACCCCCTAGCTGATTGGTGGAGAGAGCGATATAGAGACAGAGAGAAAATTTAACAGCCAATCATGGCCACCACCATTGCTCAGCCATCACCCCACCAGCCACCAGTACTGGGGGCAAATTGTCCAACACTTTATCTTCACCAAATCCCCTGCTCCCGAACACCAGCAGCGACAAACCATGGCCATCACCACCACACAACAGCTGGTACCAGCTACAACCACAGTACCAATTGCACTCTCTACCCTCCACCTTAGATACACAGCATAACAATACACTTTTGTACAGCCACCACACTAAAACCCAAGGCCACACCATTCACACTATTGCAGTGGCACATACCACGCGGCCACAGGATATAACCCACAACCATGGACCCCTCACTCACGGCAACCACTGCACCCAGCATACATGAATTGCAACGCCCTGCAACCTCCCACTCATGGCACAACTGCCAACCACCATGGCAGCCCATTAATTCGCAGGGTATGTGGCTATATTTCTATGATAAACCAACTTTTTTGCTTATATGGCCTTTAATTCACAGGGTTAACTCATCACTCCCACCAACATTTCTCCGTTCAAAACAAAGAGCACATGTACATAAATATATTTTCATGTGTATGTATACTGAGATTCCGTATATAAATAAATAAAAATGTAATGAGGTTTCAGATGGAGGTGAATACCTTTCATTTTGTCCCCAAAACCCAAAGCCACTGCAAGCTTAGCCATGTCCCTCCTCGCCGCAAATTCCACAACCAATTTCCTCAAATACTCCTCCTCAAACTTCTCCTTCAACCCAAACCCAACCACCATCTGCAAAAACATGGTGGCCTCCCCTGCCCCAACCCCGCTCTCTCCGCCGCCCATCACTCCCCTCCACTTCTTCAAAACAACCGCCGCCTTCTCCCTCACGCTGCTCGCCACACCACCATTTCCGCCACCGCCCGGCTCCACCAACGGCACCGCCACCTGAATCAACATCCCACAAGCCCACCTCCTGTCCGCCATCCCAACCTTCCCCTCCACCTTCATCTCCACAAACTCCTCCACCGTATCCAGCACCAGCCTCATCGCGTCCACCGATTCCTCCACCGCCGCCGCGATCTCCGCCCTCAGCGCCACCGACTCCTTCCTCTTCGCCAACAGAAATCTCACCAATCCCTTCGAATCCATCCTCCGGCAACACATTCTCAACACCTCCGACAAACTCCTCTCTCCTCCGCCGCCCTCAGCCTTCTCGATTTCCGAAATCGCCGCCTCTTTCTGCTCCTCGATGCGGGCCGCGGCGGCGGACTCTCGCTCCGGAATCGAATTCTCGCGATTTTGGAGGGATTCGAGGGTTTGCTTGGTATTGGCATCGAAGGCTTCGATTTGGGAGTCTAGGGTTTTCGATTTCTGAGAGAGAGATTGTTCTAAGGATGAGAAATGGTCGGTTAGGGTTTTATGGAGCTGAGTGATGGTCGTGAGGAGGGTTTTGCGGGTCTCGAGCTGGTTGAAGAAGTTTTTGAATCGATCAGTGTTGACTGCGCAGTCTGTGGTCATCTTGATTGGTGGTTTGTTTGTTTGTTTCTCGGGAAACACTGAGAAAAAAAAAAAAAAAAACCCAAAGCAACAAGGAAATGAGAACGTCGACAGTGTGTGTGTGTGTGTGTGTGTGTTTTCAAAGAGAATCGTTACAGGGTAATAGAACGACGGTAAGGTGCAGCGAGTCCTTGAAAGGATGTGTTTAGCAAATTGGCAGGTAGATAAAAATAAATAAATAAATAAATCTCTCCGCCGGTGTAATTCGAACGGGTTCAATCCGAGCAATTCGAATTCAGTCAGAAATTTTTTAAGATTTGGACAAGATATTTTTAAATTTAGTACAAGTTTGGCTAAAAATTCAAAAATTTGAATTAAATTTGGACGGATTTGGGCAAAGATATCTAACAACTCGAGCAACCTGAAACTCGAATTATACATATATAGATATATAAAAATATTAAATATATATAAATTATTAGTCATTACATGATATTAAAGTAATTTAAATTATTAAATAATATTGAATGTATATTATATATACAAATAATATCAAATCTTACCTTTTTTTTATTATTTATTTTCACTCATAAATTGTAAATACTACTATAGCGAGATCTTTCTTACATTATATAAATTATAAAAATGTAAACAAAGTCAAATTTTAATAATTTCATAACGTAGCAGTAAAAAAAAAAATTTAATTACTTACAATTCGGGCAACTCGTGCAATTCAGATTTAACTCGGGTCGGGCTTGAGCAGGCAATCTCAAGTTACAATTTGGGCCTAGGCGGGCCTGGGCAAATCTCAGATCAACTTGGGCTGAGCTTGAACAACCTCCTAACCCGACTGAACCCGTCCGAGTTGCACCTCTCTCTCTCTGCATCTAATAAATTATAAATGCACTCTTGAAATTTGATTAAAATACAAATCACTCATGTAATTCTAAAAATTACATTATATCCCTGAGATTTTTAATTTCATAACAAATCACTTATTTTATTAATAAATTATTAAGTCAATTAATAATTTTTAACGATGTTAGAAATATGTTTCAATTAATAATTTAAATAATTTTATTATTATATAGGAGAACAGTTATGAATTTTATTTTTTTAGTTAATTCTGTTAAATAAAAAATTCTAACAAGGGAATATTTGTAATTTTCTAAATCACAAAAAAAAAAATTGTATTTTAAGTGAATCTCAAAAAATATATTTATAATTTACTCTTTTTTTGAAAAAAATTATTTTCGACAACTGTTTTTTATAAAAACAAAAAATGACCTACTTTAGAAAGTGTTAATAGTTTGACTTATTTATTTAGGACTTTTCTTAAGTGTGCCTTGCATATGGTATGCAAGGCACTTACACCCTTCTATTTTGCACTTGCACCCTTCTATTTTGCATTTACACATTTGTATGTATTGGGTTATATCAAAATATTTGAAAACTTACACATTGGTGACCTGCTAAGCAGGTCACTTTCCAGGTAAATTAATAAAATAATATATTATATGATTAAAGGTGTAAATGGTCACAAAAAATGTATAAGTTTTTATAAAAGGCGTATATTTTCACGAAAGGCGTAAGCAATTTCAGAAAAAGGCGTAACTGATTTCTGAAAACTTACGCGTTTTGTGAAAACTTACGTCTTTTATAAAAATTTACACCTTTTCTGAAAACTTACATCTTTTTCTGAAAACTTACGCCTTCTGTGAAATCATTTACATCTTTTATGAACACTTACTCCTTTTGTGAGTTGACTTACCAAAGGTGTAAACAAACGAAAACTTACACATTTTGCTTAAGCTTACACCTTTTTTTGAAAAGTTACTCCTTTTGTGTAAGAATTTTTGGCATAACATTTATATTTTTTCTTCGAACTTACACGTTTTGTGGAAGCCCAACTTAAAGCTTTTTTGGAAATCACTTATACCTTTTGTGAAAAAATAAATTCATCAAATTTACACATTTTGCTTAAGCTTATACCTTTTCGTGGAAGTGCTTTTTTTTTTTTGAAAAGTTACTCCTTTTGTGTAAGAATTTTTGGCATAACATTTATACTTTTTCTTCGAACTTACACCTTTTGTGGAAGTCCAACTTAAAACTTTTTTGGAAGTCACTTATACCTTTTGTGAAAAAATAATTCATCAAATTTACACCTTTTGGTTAAGCTTATACCTTTTCGTGGAAGTGCTTTTTTTTTTTTGAAAAGTTACTCCTTTTGTGTAAGAATTTTTGGCATAACATTTATACTTTTTCTTCGAACTTACACTTTTTGTGGAAGCCCAACTTAAAGCTTTTTCGGGAGTCACTTTTACCTTTTGTGAAAAAATAAATTCATCAAATTTACACCTTTTGCTTAAGCTTATACCTTTTCGTGGAAGTGCTTATATTGTTTTTGAAAAGTTACTCCTTTTGTATAAGAATTTTTGGCATAACATTTATACATTTTCTTCGAACTTACACTTTTTGTGAAAGAGTATATAAGCATAAAAGTATAAATGTTATGCCAAAAATTCTTACACAAAAGGAGTAACTTTTCAGAAAAAATATAAGCACTCCCATGAAAATGTGTAAGTTTAAGCAAAAGGTGTAAATTTGATAAAAAAAAAATTTCACAAAAGGTATAAGTGACTTCCGAAAAAGCTTTAAGTTGGGCTTCCACAAAAGGTGTAAGTTCGAAGAAAAAATATAAATGTTATGCCAAAAATTCTTACACAAAAGGAGTAACTTTTCAAAAAAACTATAAGCACTTCCACGAAAAGGTATAAGCTTAAGCAAAAGGTGTAAATTTGATGAATTTATTTTTTCACAAAAGGTATAAGTGACTTCCAAAAAAGTTTTAAGTTGGACTTCCACAAAAGGTGTAAGTTCGAAGAAAAAGTATAAATGTTATGCCAAAAATTCTTACACAAAAGGAGTAACTTTTCAAAAATGGTATTAGTATTTTCATGAAAAGGTGTAAGCGTAAGCAAAATGTGTAAATTTGATGAACTTATTTTTTCACAAAAGGTATAAGTGACTTCCAAAAAAGGTTTAAATTGGACTTTTACAAAAAGTGTAAGTTCGAAAAAAAAGTATAAGGGTGGAATAACATTTCAAAACGTTCATAAACACAAAAAGAGTAATATTTCAAAATGTTCATTTCAAAGTGTTCATAACACAAAAGGAGTAACCTTTCGAAATGTTCACTAACAAATTGGGAGAACCACTGAACAGTTACCACCAACGGTTTCTCTGTTCTGTCTCTCACCCCCCCCACACACAGAACAGTTACCACCAAACCTCACCCCCGCTCACCACCCAACCATCGCTGGCCACCGTCGCACGCCACCGCCTCAAATCGCCACCGCCGCTGTTGCAGGTTTTTTTTTCTCTCTCTCTGTCGATCTTGGTCTCTCTCTGTCGATCTGTCTCTTCTCTGTCGATCTCCATCAATCTTGGTCTCTCTCTGTCGATCTCCGTCGATCTTGGTCTCTCTCTGTCGATCTCCGTCGATCTCGGTCGATCTCTCTGCCGATCTCTCTATCGATCCGTCTATCTCCGTCTCTCCGTCTCTGTCAAATGCAAAGCTTGAAAGCTAGGGTAGTTAATTAAATTAAAAACCCTAACAAGAAGAAGTCTCCAAATTTTGAAGAAATTAGAGCTCATCTATTTGATCTTGCTTGACCTTAAGTTAGGTTTCTATAATTTTGTTGAATCATTAAGCTTCACCTAATTTTGAAGTTGTTGATGAAATTCTTGAGCTTGAGTTTGAATTTAATCTGTCGATCTCCGTCGATCTTGGTCTCTCTCTGTCGATCTCCGTCGATCTCGGTCGATCTCTCTGCCGATCTCTCTGTCGATCCGTCTATCTCCGTCTCTCGGTCTCTGTCAAATGCGAAGCTTGAAAGCTAGGGTAGTTAATTAAATTAAAAACCCTAACAAGAAGAAGTCTCCAAATTTTGAAGAAATTAGAGCTCATTTATTTGATCTTGCTTAACCTTAAGTTAGGTTTCTATAATTTTGTTGAATCATTAAGCTTCACCTAATTTTGAAGTTGTTGATGAAATTCTTGAGCTTGAGTTTGAATTTAAAGGTCTACTTTTGAGTAGAACATGAAAATTGTTTGTGTATCATGATTGTTAAATTTTGGTCTTTAATTTGAGCAATTTGTACATACATCTATACATGCATTCTTAAGTATGACAATTGGCATGTTCTCTCTGGCACTGTGAGATCAACTAATGATGCTTATCCATCTGGGTATGGTGTTGGAGTGTAATGGGTGGGAAATTGGTTCCTTTGAGAAGGGAAGTTTATGGCAATTGAAGAATTTTTTAGATTACGCATAGGTTCAGTCCTAAAACATTTTTTGGGGGCTTTGAGGGGTTTGGACAGTTTCTCTCACTTTCTATGAGCATGAAGAATGGTTCATATAGTAACTTATCTATCATGAAATGACCTGTTTGTATGGTATTCGTGTTGATGCACTGGGACATTTGTTTGATGGGATATTCTTGACAGTGAAGTACTCAATGGTATTAAATTGGTCAACAGTGCTCTTTTGTCATTGTTTGGCCAATTATTTTATTAGCTTGATTAATTTATTATGTAAATTTTGTAAAGCAATTTGTTTTTTGAATTTATGTTTTTAAGAAGTCTTATGACTTTGATGGTCAGGGTCTTGTGGATATGTTAGTAAGTAACTACTCTTAGACGGCCATTGTATATTTTGAACATCAAATCAACTTGGCTTGTCTTTTAGTAATTCCGCAACTAATACGAGTCTACTAAATATGCTCTTACTAAAGTTCATCATTTTCTGGAACACTTGATTTTCTCAACAAATCTTGAAATTTGAGAGGTGGGTCTAGAAACTAAAGTATGAAAAATGTGTAAGACTTCATGGAAAATGCTAGTGGAGGGGTGGCAATGGAAGTTTTTATGCTCACCTTAAGGGTATGGGAATGACCCTTGAAGGTGCAATTACATGGGAAAAAGCACTAGAGTAGCTAAAATTTTGAATGCTTTTCTTGTAAATTATAGTCACTAGGATGGGTTGGAGATTTTTTGGAATTACTTTTTTCATTGAGAAAATTGTGCCATTGGGAGGTAAAGATTGATATAATTTTATTTATTTATTTTTTTTGG